CCATGCCATATCAATGTCAGGAGTTAATTCTCTATGGAAGTGTATTCGCCGATAACCTGCCGGTAGGAAAATTGGCATTTTTTTCGTTTATAAAGTTATTTTCTTTCTTGCAAATTTACTTTTTATGTTTAATTTTATGACACAAATACTCTAAAATCCTTTCATCTGCAACTTATAGTGTTGAAGTTTTGAGCTTGAAGTTGAGCTATATTAATTTTTTTGAAAAAAAGTAATTCGTAAGTCTTTAGTAATTTAGCACGTATTTCTATTGCTTTGCTGATAGCGAAGATTTTTTCAGCTGAAAAAAATCTCATATTTTTGGTTGCTTATCACATCTTAATCATACAGGATTTGGAGCGAAGACTTACGGGCTTATGTGACCCCGGATCAACAGAGTTTCATGAGCATGATCTTTCTTTCAGCCTTCGAACAGGAACTGATCCAGATGTCACTATCAGGTTTGCTGTCCCTCGTTTCGCTTTGTTTTATTTATCCTTACGTCACCTCCCTTTAGGCTACGTCGTCGCTTCAATGTAGATTCTTTCAACAGCCATCAGTGGCAATTTCGATACATTGGAGGTATGTATACCAGCTTGTTTTTTAAATTGCTAACTGGCAACTGTTCCCCTTCTTTCAGGACCGGAGCCAGACCAAAAGTGTCCCGTAATTGTGCGAAAAGTAATTGACTCTATAGCCTACTCACACTTAATGATGGATTTTGTGAAAACATTGGGTAAGCTTACTTTAAAAAGTGTACTCTCTGCAATTTTGAACAAGATAATTTGAGAAAAACAACTTTTTCAATTAAAGCACAAATTACTAATGATTTTTCGACTTTCTAAACATGTATATCCTTCTTTTTTTCTACATATGTATCTCCATCTTTATCCTATCACAATCATCTAAACTGTTTATTCTATGCTTGTATTGATATGTTCTTGCTGCATGTGGTGAAACTTCTTTAGTACAAACTATATAACTTTACACTAAATGTTCTTAGGTTTGCGAATGGATTACGAGTATATAGCCAAAGGAACAGTCTGGACAAACGGAAAGATGAAAGTAGTGCTTAGTCAAATTCAGAAAACCGAGAAGGTAATGGGGTTCACGGCTTACCATTCTAAATTTGATTTCCATGAGATTCAACTTCTCTTGTTTAGGCAGGTCATTATGATCAAGCAAACCTAAAACGATTTTCTGACTCGTACCTGGTCGAAATGAGCGTATGCCTTCCGGATTCGGCTGAATACACTGCCGTAAGTTATT